TGCAATGAAGAGGGGGTGGCTCTTGGAAATCTTCATCCCTGTCTATTTTCATCTGTGAAACAGTGAAAGGGAACTGTGTGAGTTAATCAAATCGTTCAATTATCCTAAGTTGAATTGTTGCAATTTGTAATAAGAAAGTAGTAAATAATGCCAGATATGATGGAGAAACCTAACTGGGTAAAAAGTCCGGGACTAAGCCTATTATTTTCACTATAGATAATATGGATTTACAGTTAGATGTTGCTTAGCCAATTCCATTAGACTTCTCGATCTACTTCCTGAAACCTTAAAGATCTTGCTAACATAATCAGCTCTCAGTTTTCAACAATTGTTTCTTTCAAGTGAATCACTAAGAATGACCAATACTTGTACTCTTTTTGCGCTTGTAGTCCAACCTCTCTCAAATTTCAGCAGCTTTTAAAGTTCAATTGAGAAAGTACCCTTCTAAGGGTGTTTAGGAAGTATGTGTTTTGGATTCAATGGATTCGATGTTTTTCTTCCAATCTGTGGTTGTTTAATCTCAAGAGTTAGTGGATTGAATCAATACATGAACAAGTTATTGGACCCTCAAAAAATGTTATGAATGTGTTATAAAGAAGAGGCACAATGAACGACGACACAAAATTTCGTGCAAGGCATTGAGTATTTATAGTTAAGGACAATTAGGTAGTTTGGATCGTGTAAAACTCTGCAAAAACATGAAGTAGGGTTTTACACATAACACTATCGCTTGAGTGAGGAGCTAGCAACAAGTGAGCGATTGTCCGTCGCAAGCGAGGAGCTAGCAACGGGTGAGCGATCGTCAGTCGCTCGTTCGAGCGATGGGCTACAGGCGAGCGACTGTGTTCCTATTTTTATCACTCAAGTAGCGTCCATATGATTGACTAGTGAAATTGCTATGTCTCTTCTTTCCTTATTCGGAAATCGAACCCTACTTATCTAACTCAACTATACAATATTACAACTAACTCCTTCACTTTTTACATGTCTATTTCAATCATTTTGTTCACATAATTGTCAAGTACATAAAGCCTAACAAACTCTCTTTTTGGCATTTTATGAAAAAAAAGTATACAATTAAAGTCAAGGCAATAAAAACACAAAAATCTAATCTACCCAAGCTCTATTTTTCGCATTCCTTATTATACCTGTTTCCTGAAATTAACAACTCAAGTACTAAGTATAAAAGTGCGTGATACAGAAAATATAGTAATATAGACACATGATCATAAATAAGCATACTAGAATAGGAAGTAATACAAATGTCCATTAAAACACCAGTCAAAACATTAATATTACAAAACATCAAAAACTCAAACAACTATGCATTATGATGTGGAATGCAATGAAATTAATCAATCTTCCCCTCACTACAAACTCGAATCAATCAGTCATTTCGCTCCCTCGAACATGCAGTTGTCTCTCAAGATATAAAGTATAATGATATAGATGATATTAGTCTCCCCTTATATACTTTTCTCTTATCGAAATAATTACTCTCCCTTTTTGTCTCAAAAGACGAAGAGATCAATATAAAAAAAAAAAAATCAATATACAATAACTCAAAATATGCAGTTGATAGCATGCACAAACATAATCAATAATCAGTAAACCTTTCCACGTACTTAGTTCAAGTGAACATCGAGTAAATTATATAAGTAACTCATGTGAGTAAAGTGTCCTAATCCTTTGTAAGTAGAACTCCAAACATTAATTTTGTGAGAAGGTATATGCTAAACATCAGCGTCAATAAGTTTATTCCCTTACTTGTGAAAGTCAAATAATTTAAAGCACATTAGGAGCATTCAATAAAGGCTCATTTTGTATGAATATTTTCTTTTCTTTCCCCGACTTCGAGCATGCATAAATTTTTTATACCTTTAAATATATTTTAAACTTATCATATTTTTTACATCTTAATTGCATATCATTCTCCATTAAACAACAATCGACCATAGACACCTAGTTATGAGAAACCTCGCAGGCCTAATTATTCGAGTCAAATAGGCTCCAAGAAAGAATATAATATATTGAGCTTTTTATTACATGGAATAAAGTTGAGCTTAAATATAATAAATAAGGTCAATTCATGTTTAAAGTCATATTACCAACATGTAACTACCATCCCAAATCTCACATACGTGGTTGAGTCTCACTAACAATATCACAGTATGTGTAGTATAGTTGGTACATGAAGACACCCATACTAAATACTCCATAATTACGTAAGCAAGCAATAAAAATTATGCTATAGCTCATCAATTAAACACGTGTTTGGTGACAGCACACAAGTTTAAGCATATCATATATCGTGCTGTAAGAACAATTTCCCTATTTCTTTTTCTTTTTTCTGTATTTTTCAATTTTTCAAATTTTTTATTGTTTTTATTTTTAAAACATTAATGCACCAACACAGAAAAAATGTCAAACACAAAAAAAAAATAATAATAAATGTGCATGAGACTTCTACTTAAAAAAGAATAAACAAATTTGATGCATGCATAAATCAATGACATACTAATAAAGCATAAGCATGTACCAGAAATACCTAATCAGTTAGGTATGCAAACGTTCTTACCTTTAAAAAGCACCATAATCTATTTCAAGATTTTTCAAATCATTTTTCTTCATCCAAACATGTCTAGTGATAGGAATATTCCTAATCATCTGTATCATTTACATTGTCAGTTGACTTACTTGATTAGTAAGGAAGTCAATCTGACCAACAAACTTCTAATTGTTGTTTCTATTGAAGTTCTTGTTTCTATTTAAGTTCAGTAATTTATGATACCTAGGTCTTATGTGAGAGATAAACCTAGGATCAAAGTTATGTGATCGTTGATTTTCATTCCTGGGTTGGTGGGTTCTACGCTATCTAATAGGCCTTTGTCTAATAAATCCCCTATTTTTAAGTTCAGGATTAGGCACATATTTAGGCTAATCAGTAGCAGGGACAAGTGTGATCTTGGACGTAGCAGTAACATTATGATCTTTCTTCTTATATCCTATACATCTCTTATTCCTAGCAGGCTTCCTCCATTCCTAAGATATTATCTAGCTCCATAGAACCATTAGAACCACTTGGAAAACTCTAGTTCGCTTAGAATATTCTTATTATCAGTTTGAGTCCCTCAGGGCCACTAAACTGAGTACCCGACTATAAACTTTAGGGTCCCATGGGATTAGTCGAGGTGCTCGTAAGTTGGCCTAGACACCCACGATCATAAAAAATAAAAAAAGCACATTCTTAATTTGGTTTTCTAAAGTTTCGTTTTCAATGATCAATTCACTAGCTCTCCTAGAAGCTTTCTTAAGCTCACTTGTGAGATTCTTAACCTGAGTATTTAAAGATTCGTTCATGAATTTCAACTCACTCAGGGTAATTTCTCTTTCTCCAACTCGAGTTCGTTGACCTTCGTATCTAAGGCTTTATTTGTTGTTAGAATCTTAATGCTCTCCACATAGATTCTATTCATAAGCTTCATGAATATCTCCCTCAGTATTAGAACCTTCCTCTGATTCCTTACCACTATCTAGGTCCTCAGTCTTGTCACTCTCTTGTCAGTTCACTCCTAATCCTAGCAGTGAAGGAAATGTATTTCCCATTCTCCTCACGAGTAGATTTTTACACTCTGATTGTACGAAGCTAGACTCGTCATTAGTGAGAATAACATTTATAGCCTTATCATGTTGTCTCTTGTTGCTAGGGCACTCACTTCTAATATGGCTAAAACCTCGAAAATTATAATATAACACAGATTTAGAACTCTTATTAGACTCACTAGGGCCATTTTTATGCTTCTCTCGAAGTTTTTTTTATTCCTAAACATTTTTCGAAGTATGCTAACTCTTCTTCATTAGGTGAACCTGAATCTGAAGACTTTCTACTACTATTCCTCACAGTGTTAAAGACCAAAGACTTGTCGTTTATAGGTTTAGCTAATGTCAGCTCACGAGTTTGGAGAGATCCAACCAACTCTTCCACCTTAATGAAGTCTATATACTTACTCTCCTCAATAACCATGATTTTAGGCCTAAATCATTCAGGTAAGGATCTAAGGATTTTTTTGATTATCTTAGGCTCTAGGATTTCTCAACTAGGTTAAAGCTAATATTAATCATGTCATTTAGGCTCGCATAGAATTCATCAAAATTCTCATCCTCTTTCATCCTAACCCCTTCAAACTTAATGGTCAGCATATGCAATTTAGAGTTCTTAACAGATTGAATCCCTCATGTGTGGTTTGTAAAATATCTCAAACCTCTTTAACTATCTCACACATGAACACTCGTCTAAACTCTTCAAGGGACATAGCCATAAAAAAGGCATGCAAAGCTTTAATATTCCAATTGCACTCATCTAAATTTGTCTTTGACATATTTGCTACAGGAGTGTGGATGACAACACCATTAACAATACTAGTGGGGCAGACCAACTATTAACAGTGCCAAAGGAGGCAGTCAGGCAGACCAATCATTTACTATGGTCAACCAAATATGTTCATCCAAATATGTTCATCCATAGGTTTTAGGAAAGCTTTCATTCTAACTTTCCAATGCGCATAGTTCTGCCATCAAAATATAGCGGGACGGATAATGAACTACTCTTCTAAATAAACTAAGTTTAGGACACGAATTTAGGCTCTGATACTACTTGAAAAATTTCTTAGAAGGATCCAGATTACTGATTTAGTTAGACCTTACTTGCGAAATTATACAATTAAAAGCAACAAAGTCATTTTTTGGTTGTTTCTAGATGGTTAATCAATTTGTCCAATTATCCTAAGATGAATTGTAGTAGTCTGTAATAAGAAAGCAATAAATAACACCATATATGTTGACGAAGAAACCCAACTGGGTAAAAACTCTGGAATCAAGCCAGTTATTTCCACTATAGATTATTTCTCCTTACATAGGATGTCTCGTTATGGAAATGAAAAAAAGGAGAAAAAGAAACAGATTTTCTTTTCTTGTTTTAAGAAGAGCACAGTTACAATAACATGGTGAAATGAAATTAGAAAAAGACCTGAAATTCATTCAATTCTTCATCATTGAGAGCACTATCCATATCAAGATCAAAAAGAACAAATATCCTCTTCAATGCTCTCATGCAACGTGGCTTCAAAGCTTGGGTTTCTTGATCAAATAGTGGGGCTGTTGGATGAAGGACTGCCTTCTGGGCATAGTAGAATACTTCTGGAATCTACAAATAGATTAAAAATATCACAATTGTCAGGGCAGTCTCACTCTTGTAAGAATAATGAATCAGCACAACTCAATTATTAATGCAAACCTGGAGCAAGTTAGCAGCTGAACATTCTATGCAAGTCTCAATCTCACGAAACTGTCGCATGATTGGAGCCATCACAATGTTCAAATTATACTCTTCATCTCGTCTATCTAGCTTGCAACCAACTACAACAACCGGTACCCTGACCTAAGCAACCACACATATAATATATATACACAAGTGAACACACATCAGTAACACCTAGACGTATCAATACAATATAATAGCATATTTTTTTCTTCAATCTAGATCTTGTCCACATGTCGAGTCTAGTGAAAAGGCAATTTCATAGTGACATAGTTTTATACTACATAAAGTAGGGAGATGATAAATGCAATCCAATAATTGATGCCTGCTCACGTTATTTCACATTGCGTGAGGAGTTTCAAAATTAAGTCTTGGAGATCAAATATAGTTTCCAATAATTCATTAAAAGCAGTGAAATATAGTAGCTTTATAACCTATGTATATGGCGCTTTTCTTTCTTTTTTGCCCCTTCCTAATGGTAATAAATCTTGGTAAAAAAGCTATAATGGTGTTCTCTAAATAAAGAGGAGCATGGACGACATTAAAATCGCACTTACTAACTCAATGATGTAACGTAGTAGAGATCAAGAGTAAAACCTCTAATCGACGAAGTTCATAAAGCCAGAAAGAACTGATGCGATTGAGTGTCGTCGGCTGATCGCATGCATATGTCAACACAACCGCATCAGCTCGCTTCAACTCTTCAGCAAGCCTCCCTCTATTCTCCAAACTATATATAGAAACAACACCAAATCCAATTAATCCACTCGATATAAATTCAGTACTGAAATTCGCAATCGAAAAATACAAAATTCGAACCTGGATGAGGTGTCAATGATAGTGATGGGGACATTATCCGGATAGAAATCGGCAGGGAGGCGAGTAGGTGGCAGCACCGGAGGAACTTCTCGAGAGAAGGTTTCGGAGGCGGCAGCGGCAATGAGACTTGACTTTCCGGTGGCTCGATCACCGACCACAACTATGCGGACGCTGGTGCGGCCGCCGGGAATAGGTCCTCCAGGCATGGATTTGACTTATTCTAGTAGAAAATATGGGAACAGGTAGTATTACACTTGTCCTGTTTATATAAATAGAATAGAAAAATTACATCCTGAATAGGATTTTATTTTATTTTTTGAGAATTAGTTATTAAAGAATAAAAAAGTTTTAAATCTACGTGTAAAATATTTTATTTTGTAAATATGTTATTAAAAATAAGTATAAGAAATATAGAGAATCAAACAAAAGAAAAAAAAGGGGGCGGAGTGGGGCTTTGCCATTTCCGAATGCTCCATAAACGAGTCGAGCTGTTATGTATATAAGTTGGAAATGCCAATCGAATAATGAAAATGAACAACTTGCATGAGTTGGGTCTCGAGGAGGAAAAATGATATTTTAACTTAAAATAAAAGAAACACGATCACGAATGATTCACCAGCCAATATTTTTAGCAATGAACTAGTTTGCATGGTAAGCCAAGTTCAGCTTGATGGAGTGACAAGTCGAATAGCTCGAATCGATCTATTTAATATCCTAAAATAATTGAATAAAGTACTAGAATTTATTTAATATTTGAATCGAAGTTCTGTATCTGGGTACCAGAATTGAGTAACATGAAAGTAGGATTTTTTCTTTAAAAATTTATTTATAGAAAATAAAAAAAGTGTTACTAAAAAGGCAAGTATAAAAAATGTGTTACAATCATTATTCCATTTTAGTACTACTTGCTAAAATATTTCATTTCAGAGGCTATTATTTTCGACTGCCCCAAGTATTCCCGTAATGAAGCCCAATTATATTTGGGCTTAAATTTGTTCTTCTTCATAAAATTAGTCACTACCCTGTACTCATTAATAGAAATCTCTCAAAAATGCTGTCTCGCCTCGTTCGAACGTCGATAGCCGCCGCGACCCAGCTATCAACTAAAACAGCAGCCTTGGCTACGGTGGCGGAGCCTTTAACCGATGAGGGAAACACTGTTTCTTCCACTAGTACTAATCGTACCACTGCTGGCGGCAGGGACACTTTGGGGCGGCGGCTTTTAGCTCTGGTGTATATGAAGCGCAGCGCCGTTGTAACGATACGGAAGTGGAAGGAGGAAGGTCATGTCGTCCGAAAGTACGAGCTCAATCGTATCATTCGTGAGCTACGAAAGCTTAAGCGTTACAAACATGCTCTTGAGGTAATATACATACTTGTTTTCATACCTATGTTTCCCTCTTGGTTGAAACTTTGGATTTTGGATTATTTGTATCACTATTATTGTTAGTATCTTTTTTATATAATTTGGATTTGATAATAACTCCTGAAATTTCCGATTTGTATTACATTTTTTTTTTTTATGTGTGCGCTTTGTTTATCTATGATATTATGTGGCCTTAATGGATGAGTAACTAAACGAGCCAAATAGATATGGATATTCTCTGTCGAGTTTGAAATCATGACTAAGAGAGTTACGGAGATAATATTGTCAAGGCTTGTTTTTTTAATTTTCAAACTTAAAAATTCATGTTTTAGGGGGGAGTTCTTCTCAGTGAGTAGAGGACTTCTCCAAAGGGCTGTACAATTTGTTTATTTGACTAGCTTGTACTTCCTGTATTTTTGTGTTACTTCTTGCATTGGATGGGATAAAACAAAGCTCAGTATGTGGTAACTCTCCCAAGGCTTTATTGGGGGCGAGCATTTTTGTCTGCCTGCTAAAGTTGCGTATATTTTACCCTAATTTCTGCTAATACATTTTCTATTTCTATGGAGTGGCTGTGTCATTGAAATAACATTGTCGAACTTTGGGAATTTGGGTAAATTCAATTAATGATTATCAGAGTACTGAGTGACGACAGTGTTCCACTTTGGTCAAAATCTTTTTGATAAGTTTATTCACTTCAAAATGTGCTTCTCACTTTTTTTGTGTTTGTGAAGATTTGCGAGTGGATGAGGATACAGGATGATATCAAGCTGGTACCCGGGGACTATGCTGTCCATTTAGATTTGATTGCAAAACTTCGGGGTATAAACAGTGCAGAGAAATTTTTTGAAGATCTGCCTGATAAAATGAGAGATCAAGCACCTTGTAGTGCCCTTCTTCATACCTATGCACAGCATAAGGAAACAGTGAAAGCAGAGGCTCTGATGGAAAAAATGTCAGAATGCGGTTTCTTGAAGAATTCTCTTCCATATAACCACATGATATCTCTATACATCTCTACTGGGCAATTGGAGAAGGTTCCAGATATGATTAAGGAGTTAAAGAAGAATGGTTCACCTGATGTTATCACATACAACTTGTGGTTGACAGTATGTGCTTCGCAGAACTATATTGAAACTGCTGAAAAGGTTTTTCTTGAGCTAAAGAAGGCAAAAGTAGATCCAGATTGGGTAACATATAGCACATTGACCAGCCTCTACATCAAGAATTCACTCAAGGAAAAAGCGGAGTTTGCTTTGAGGGAAATGGAGAAAAAGGTTTCTAGAAAAGTCCGAGTTGCTTATGCATCCCTGATTAGTTTGCATACTAGCCTGGAAAATAAAAATGACATCCACCGCATATGGAAGAAGATGAAATCCACTTTCCGCAAGTTGAATGATGTTGAATACACATGTATGATTACTTCCTTACTGAAACTCGAACGAATTGAAGAAGCTGAGAAACTTTACAAGGAATGGGAGTCTGTTTCTCCAACCAAGGATTCAAGGGTTCCGAATTTGCTTATTGCTACTTACATCAGCAAGAATGAAATGGAAAAGGCTGAGGCTTTTCACGATCAGATGGTAAAGAAAAGCATGGTATCAGGTTATACCACTTGGGAGCTTCTTACTTGGTGTTATTTGAAAAAAGGACAGATGGGAAAAGTTCTTGATTGTTTCAAGAAAGCTGTTGGTTGTGTGAAAAAATGGAATCCAGATGAAAAGATGTTGCAAGAGGTATTTAGGATTGTCGAAGAGCATGGCAGTGTTGAGGGCGCAGAGCAATTGATAATTACTCTTCGGAGTGCCGGCCATGTAAAAACAGAGGCTTATAATTCTCTTCTGCGAACTTATGCAAAAGCTGGTAAAATGCCACTTATAGTAGCAGAGAGGATGAAAATGGACAATGTAAAGTTAGATGAGGAAACTCAGAGACTTCTAGAGCTAACGAGCAAAATGAGCGTTGGTGAACTTCCACACACTCTCTCTTAAGATGATATACTAATCAAATTGATTGGGGTTGAAGTCCTATGCAAACCAATGGTTGGATTGGATTAATGATTTTTGATTAATTGTTTATAACCGGTTTCAGCTGAATCCAAACAACTAGTGTGTTAGATTTGATTTCAGTGATGATTTACACTCAGCTTTCACAGCCTATCAACCAAGAGATGTGCAATGAAGAGGGGGTGGCTCTTGGAAATCTTCATCCCTGTCTATTTTCATCTGTGAAACAGTGAAAGGGAACTGTGTGAGTTAATCAAATCGTTCAATTATCCTAAGTTGAATTGTTGCAATTTGTAATAAGAAAGTAGTAAATAATGCCAGATATGATGGAGAAACCTAACTGGGTAAAAAGTCCGGGACTAAGCCTATTATTTTCACTATAGATAATATGGATTTACAGTTAGATGTTGCTTAGCCAATTCCATTAGACTTCTCGATCTACTTCCTGAAACCTTAAAGATCTTGCTAACATAATCAGCTCTCAGTTTTCAACAATTGTCTCTTTCAAGTGAATCACTAAGAATGACCAATACTTGTACTCTTTTTGCGCTTGTAGTCCAACCTCTCTCAAATTTCAGCAGCTTTTAAAGTTCAATTGAGAAAGTACCCTTCTAAGGGTGTTTAGGAAGTATGTGTTTTGGATTCAATGGATTCGATGTTTTTCTTCCAATCTGTGGTTGTTTAATCTCAAGAGTAAGTGGATTGAATCAATACATGAACAAGTTATTGGACCCTCAAAAAATGTTATGAATGTGTTATAAAGAAGAGGCACAATGAACGACGACACAAAATTTCGTGCAAGGCATTGAGTATTTATAGTTAAGGACAATTAGGTAGTTTGGATCGTGTAAAACTCTGCAAAAACATGAAGTAGGGTTTTACACATAACACTATCGCTTGAGTGAGGAGCTAGCAACAAGTGAACGATTGTCCGTCGCAAGCGAGGAGCTAGCAACGGGTGAGCGATCGTCAGTCGCTCGTTCGAGCGATGGGCTACAGGCGAGCGACTGTGTTCCTATTTTTATCACTCAAGTAGCGTCCATATGATTGACTAGTGAAATTGCTATGTCTCTTCTTTCCTTATTCGGAAATCGAACCCTACTTATCTAACTCAACTATACAATATTACAACTAACTCCTTCACTTTTTACATGTCTATTTCAATCATTTTGTTCACATAATTGTCAAGTACATAAAGCCTAACAAACTCTCTTTTTGGCATTTTATGAAAAAAAAGTATACAATTAAAGTCAAGGCAATAAAAACACAAAAATCTAATCTACCCAAGCTCTATTTTTCGCATTCCTTATTATACCTGTTTCCTGAAATTAACAACTCAAGTACTAAGTATAAAAGTGCGTGATACAGAAAATATAGTAATATAGACACATGATCATAAATAAGCATACTAGAATAGGAAGTAATACAAATGTCCATTAAAACACCAGTCAAAACATTAATATTACAAAACATCAAAAACTCAAACAACTATGCATTATGATGTGGAATGCAATGAAATTAATCAATCTTCCCCTCACTACAAACTCGAATCAATCAGTCATTTCGCTCCCTCGAACATGCAGTTGTCTCTCAAGATATAAAGTATAATGATATAGATGATATTAGTCTCCCCTTATATACTTTTCTCTTATCGAAATAATTACTCTCCCTTTTTGTCTCAAAAGACGAAGAGATCAATATAAAAAAAAAAAAATCAATATACAATAACTCAAAATATGCAGTTGATAGCATGCACAAACATAATCAATAATCAGTAAACCTTTCCACGTACTTAGTTCAAGTGAACATCGAGTAAATTATATAAGTAACCCATGTGAGTAAAGTGTCCTAATCCTTTGTAAGTAGAACTCCAAACATTAATTTTGTGAGAAGGTATATGCTAAACATCAGCGTCAATAAGTTTATTCCCTTACTTGTGAAAGTCAAATAATTTAAAGCACATTAGGAGCATTCAATAAAGGCTCATTTTGTATGAATATTTTCTTTTCTTTCCCCGACTTCGAGCATGCATAAATTTTTTATACCTTTAAATATATTTTAAACTTATCATATTTTTTACATCTTAATTGCATATCATTCTCCATTAAACAACAATCGACCATAGACACCTAGTTATGAGAAACCTCGCAGGCCTAATTATTCGAGTCAAATAGGCTCCAAGAAAGAATATAATATATTGAGCTTTTTATTACATGGAATAAAGTTGAGCTTAAATATAATAAATAAGGTCAATTCATGTTTAAAGTCATATTACCAACATGTAACTACCATCCCAAATCTCACATACGTGGTTGAGTCTCACTAACAATATCACAGTATGTGTAGTATAGTTGGTACATGAAGACACCCATACTAAATACTCCATAATTACGTAAGCAAGCAATAAAAATTATGCTATAGCTCATCAATTAAACACGTGTTTGGTGACAACACACAAGTTTAAGCATATCATATATCGTGCTGTAAGAACAATTTCCCTATTTCTTTTTCTTTTTTCTGTATTTTTCAATTTTTCAAAATTTTTATTGTTTTTATTTTTAAAACATTAATGCACCAACACAGAAAAAATGTCAAACACAAAAAAAAAAATAATAATAAATGTGCATGAGACTTCTACTTAAAAAAGAATAAACAAATTTGATGCATGCATAAATCAATGACATACTAATAAAGCATAAGCATGTACCAGAAATACCTAATCAGTTAGGTATGCAAACGTTCTTACCTTTAAAAAGCACCATAATCTATTTCAAGATTTTTCAAATCATTTTTCTTCATCCAAACATGTCTAGTGATAGGAATATTCCTAATCATCTGTATCATTTACATTGTCAGTTGACTTACTTGATTAGTAAGGAAGTCAATCTGACCAACAAACTTCTAATTGTTGTTTCTATTGAAGTTCTTGTTTCTATTTAAGTTCAGTAATTTATGATACCTAGGTCTTATGTGAGAGATAAACCTAGGATCAAAGTTATGTGATCGTTGATTTTCATTCCTGGGTTGGTGGGTTCTACGCTATCTAATAGGCCTTTGTCTAATAAATCCCCTATTTTTAAGTTCAGGATTAGGCACATATTTAGGCTAATCAGTAGCAGGGACAAGTGTGATCTTGGACGTAGCAGTAACATTATGATCTTTCTTCTTATATCCTATACATCTCTTATTCCTAGCAGGCTTCCTCCATTCCTAAGATATTATCTAGCTCCATAGAACCATTAGAACCACTTGGAAAACTCTAGTTCGCTTAGAATATTCTTATTATCAGTTTGAGTCCCTCAGGGCCACTAAACTGAGTACCCGACTATAAACTTTAGGGTCCCATGGGATTAGTCGAGGTGCTCGTAAGTTGGCCTAGACACCCACGATCATAAAAAATAAAAAAAGCACATTCTTAATTTGGTTTTCTAAAGTTTCGTTTTCAATGATCAATTCACTAGCTCTCCTAGAAGCTTTCTTAAGCTCACTTGTGAGATTCTTAACCTGAGTATTTAAAGATTCGTTCATGAATTTCAACTCACTCAGGGTAATTTCTCTTTCTCCAACTCGAGTTCGTTGACCTTCGTATCTAAGGCTTTATTTGTTGTTAGAATCTTATTCTCTCCACATAGATTCTATTCATAAGCTTCATGAATATCTCCCTCAGTATTAGAACCTTCCTCTGATTCCTTACCACTATCTAGGTCCTCAGTCTTGTCACTCTCTTGTCAGTTCACTCCTAATCCTAGCAGTGAAGGAAATGTATTTCCCATTCTCCTCACGAGTAGATTTTTACACTCTGATTGTACGAAGCTAGACTCGTCATTAGTGAGAATAACATTTATAGCCTTATCATGTTGTCTCTTGTTGCTAGGGCACTCACTTCTAATATGGCTAAAACCTCGAAAATTATAATATAACACAGATTTAGAACTCTTATTAGACTCACTAGGGCCATTTTTATGCTTCTCTCGAAGTTTTTTTTATTCCTAAACATTTTTCGAAGTATGCTAACTCTTCTTCATTAGGTGAACCTGAATCTGAAGACTTTCTACTACTATTCCTCACAGTGTTAAAGACCAAAGACTTGTCGTTTATAGGTTTAGCTAATGTCAGCTCACGAGTTTGGAGAGATCCAACCAACTCTTCCACCTTAATGAAGTCTATATACTTACTCTCCTCAATAACCATGATTTTAGGCCTAAATCATTCAGGTAAGGATCTAAGGATTTTTTTGATTATCTTAGGCTCTAGGATTTCTCAACTAGGTTAAAGCTAATATTAATCATGTCATTTAGGCTCGCATAGAATTCATCAAAATTCTCATCCTCTTTCATCCTAACCCCTTCAAACTTAATGGTCAGCATATGCAATTTAGAGTTCTTAACAGATTGAATCCCTCATGTGTGGTTTGTAAAATATCTCAAACCTCTTTAACTATCTCACACATGAACACTCGTCTAAACTCTTCAAGGGACATAGCCATAAAAAAGGCATGCAAAGCTTTAATATTCCAATTGCACTCATCTAAATTTGTCTTTGACATATTTGCTACAGGAGTGTGGATGACAACACCATTAACAATACTAGTGGGGCAGAGCAACTATTAACAGTGCCAAAGGAGGCAGTCAGGCAGACCAATCATTTACTATGATCAACCAAATATGTTCATCCATAGGTTTTAGGAAAGCTTTCATTCTAACTTTCCAATGCGCATAGTTCTGCCATCAAAATATAGCGGGACGGATAATGAACTACTCTTCTAAATAAACTAAGTTTAGGACACGAATTTAGGCTCTGATACTACTTGAAAAATTTCTTAGAAGGATCCAGATTACTGATTTAGTTAGACCTTACTTGCGAAATTATACAATTAAAAGCAACAAAGTCATTTTTTGGTTGTTTCTAGATGGTTAATCAATTTGTCCAATTATCCTAAGATGAATTGTAGTAGTCTGTAATAAGAAAGCAATAAATAACACCATTTATGTTGACGAAGAAACCCAACTGGGTAAAAACTCTGGAATCAAGCCAGTTATTTCCACTATAGAAAATATGGATTTATAATTAGATGTTGCATAGCCAACTTCACTAGACTTCCCGATCTACTTTATGTAACCTCCAAGATCCTACTAACACAACTAGCTCCCAATCTTCAACAATTGTCTCTTCCAATTGGATCACCAAGTATGACCAATTCTTGTACTTTTCCTGTACTTGTAGTCGAACCTCTCAATTTTCAGCAGCCTTTAAAGTTTAATTAAGAAAGTACCTTCCTAAGGGTGTTTGGAAAGTAGGTATTTTGAATTCAATGGATTTGATGTTTTTCCTCCAATCTGTGGTAGTATAATCTTAATAGTAAATGGATTGAATCAATACATGAACAAGTTCTTGGACCTTCAAAGAATGTTATGAATGTGTTATAGAAAAGAGGTACAATGAACAACCACACTTAATTTCGTGCAAAGCATTGGGTATTTATAATTGAGGACAATTAAGTAGTTTGGATCGTGTAAAACCTTGGAAAAAAGCGAAGTAGGATTTTATGCGTAACACTGTCGTTCGAGTGAGAGCGATAGGCGAACGATGGGTTTCTGTTTTTGTCGCTCGAACAATGTTTAGGCGATATGCTAGCGAAATTGCGATGTATCTTCTTTTCTTATTCTGAGCTCGAACCCTAACCTGTCTAGCTCAACTATAAAATATTGTAACTAACTCCTTAACTTTTTACAACATGTTTATTTTAGTTATTTTGTTCACAGAATTGTCAATTACATAAAACCTAATAGGTTCAAACCAAATCGCTTATACATAATATGTGATTAAACACTTGATATCGACAATGAAAATCTAACTCGCTATGGACATATACTTGACACAACAAATGAGTGATCTCGATATTTATCCACATGAAGTTCGTAACAGGATTCTATTACTTTCAAAGTTTCTGTCAAACACGTAATGAGATATTAATCTACCAAGAGAAAATTTCAAATAGACATTTATTTGGTACAACTCGCTTGAATAATCATTGGATAATTTATTGATTTTCTTAGACAAATAGACTTCCAAAAAAAAAAAAACAAAGGACTGTGAAACTCAAACATTAATTGAATATCAATCGTTCAAACTGAAAAAATAAAACCATTATTTTTTAATAAATAAATTAAAAAAATGCCAAAAATAGGAGTTAAAGGTTAAGCCAAACGGCGTCGTCTTTCGAGTTCTAGGACAGACTGGAATCTCTCTAAGTTCTAAACCCTCTCTCTGTAAACTACCTCCACTTCCGGTGCCACCACCCACCGGGAAAATGAAGTTCCAAATCGAAGACGTTACTGTGTACTTCCCCTACGACAACATATACCCGGAGCAATATGCGTACATGGTGGAACTGAAACGTGCCCTAGACGCCAAGGGCCATTGCCTGTTAGAAATGCCGACAGGTACCGGAAAAACAATTGCCTTACTCTCCTTAATCACAAGTTACACGCTTTCGAAGCCCTCCAATCCGGTGAAACTCCTTTACTGTACTCGCACAGTACACGAAATGGAAAAAACCCTAGCTGAACTCAAATTGTTGCATAATTACCAGCTCCACCATTTGGGCCCTTCTGTACGGATGCTCGCACTCGGATTGTCGTCGAGGAAGAATTTGTGCATAAATCCGAGTGTTGTTTCAGCTGAGAATCGGGATTCCGTGGATGCCGCGTGTAGGAAGCTTACAGCTAGTTGGGTCCGGGCTATGGCTATAGAGAATCCGAATGTTCGGACTTGTTCCTTTTTTGATAATTATGAAAAGGCTGCCTCTGATGCCATTTTGCCTCCTGGTGTTTATACTCTACAGGTTCTGCCCCGTCTTCTTCTTCTTCTTCATTTTTTTTTTATTACTCTAATGAAATTTAGCTATTTTCTTGATTTTTTAAATTTTCTTATCTGTTTTTGGTTATTTGTAACAATATATACGGGACTTAAGTTCTTGAAACATTTTGAATGTTTAAATTTGTGAATGTGGGAGTTTTTGGTGCATTTGCTGCATAAAATATTTAGTGTTGGATGGCAAGAGATTTTCTTTATGAATTCAATTGTTGACAAATATTGAGGATTTGCTACAATAAACCAGTGGTGCAGAAATTGGAAACATTTCTGCTATTTTAATATCAAAATGAAATTGACTTATGGTTTGTTTTCCCAACCATCGAAGGATTTGAGGGCATTCGGGAAGGAGAAAGGGTGGTGCCCGTACTTTTTGGCACGGCACATGGTGCAGTTTGCAAACGTGGTCGTTTATAGCTATCAGTACCTGCTCGATCCCAAGGTTGCTGGAATCATATCGAAGGAGATGCAGAGAGAGTCTGTTGTTGTTTTTGATGAGGCTCACAATATTGACAATGTGTGCATTGAGGCACTCAGTGTCAGTGTAAGGAGTCAGACACTTGAAGGCGCAATGAGGAATCTTAATAGGATGTCTCAGGAGATTGATAGGTTTGTGCTTTTGTTACTGTCTTTATGTAAAATTGCTATCTTTTTTTTTAGTATTTTGGCTAGTATGCTCAGAGTATTTCGAATATTCACAAATTTTTATGTCATGTTCTAAGAAGCATATTCATTTACGATGCACCTATACGTACACGAATGTTCAACACAATACTGACACGTGATTTTCAAAAAATAAAAAAATAAAAATAAAGTGACAAGACATGTCATCTATATGTCATTAAATTTTTAAAAAATTTTCATTTATATAGTATAAATTTACTTTTATATTTGTTATTAATTTTTCCTAATAAAATCTTTTAAATATAAGTACCTATTTGTTATTTAATAATAACATTGAGTTAAAAATATATAATATTTCTTATAAAGAAAGAAAAATGACCATGGTAAAGTGTCCAAGGAGTGTTGGTATTCGACACGGACGCCTAATTAATTAGTCCATGCAACAGAGATCTTTACCGAACTGGCATTGGAATATCAATTCCGAATATGACATTCTTGGAACACTTTAATAAAGAATATGATTTTTAACCACGGAAATTATTTACAATTTTACACAATAAAAACAATTACATTTTTTGAAATTCTTGGATTTTTGTACAATCTCTGTTTTGCTTTTGATCGATTTTGAAAATTTTTATGACCATATTATTAACTGTTGAAAAGGTTGTCTTTTTACATGGCTTTTTGTATCATGTTTCTAGTTGAAGTTACTTCTGTGCATTAGTTGTTGATAATTTTAAGGAGTGAAAAAAAGGCTATTTTTTGATAGTTCTCTTCTGTCTTAACTTTAACTTTGTTTAACATGGTAGGAAGGTTAAAGGCCACCGATGCTGGTCGATTGCGTGCAGAATACAACCGGCTTGTTGAAGGTTTGGCACAAAGGGGAAACCTTCCGAGTATGTTGAGTTAATGCATGTTCATTGGATATTAGGCATTCTTTTTCTAAAATGATTTCTGTTACTCACGTTGAATATGCTTTTCTGTCCTTGCAGTTGGTGACACCTGGTTTGCAAATCCTGCGTTACCCGATGATATTCTTAAGGAAGCTGTGCCTGGAAACATAAGGCGGGCAGAGCACTTTCTATCTGTTTTGCGTAGATTAATCCAGTATTTTAAAGGGCGATTGCAAACTGAAAATGTTGAAAAGGAGGGTCCTGTTTCTTTCGTTGCTTCAATCAACACACAAGTTGGGATTGACCAGAAAATGTTAAGGTTTTGTTATGACCGCCTTCACTCCCTCATGTTGACTTTGGAGATAACTGACACGGATGAATTTTTACATATCCAAACAATTTGTGATTTGGCTACGCTCGTGGGGACCTACACTCGGGGATTTTCAATTATAATTGAACCTTTCGATGAAAGAATGCCACATATACCTGATCCCGTGCTGCAGGTTTGTTGAAATTAGCAATTTAGTTATTTATTTTTGATTGGTCACCAAGGAAACAAGTAACCCCCGCATTACTCTTCTTTTGATTAATATTCTGGTAGATTCCAGTTATTGAGGTCTGTTATCTGTAAAATTATCTGCTCTTGGCCAACTCTGCATTAGTTATGATCTGGAGGCTGTGTTGGTTTGAGTTCTTATCGCCAATTAATTACATTTTCTTCCATTTCAATGAATGTGCTCGCAAATGTTTTATGCAATTCTGAATTACTTGTTTTGGTCTATCATAGTATCAGAATTGCTGATGAGATGCTAATATTGGAATTACAGCTTTGTTGTCATGATGCTTCTCTTGCCATAAAGCCTGTATTTGAACGATTCCAATCAGTAGTTATTACCTCTGGGACTCTCAGCCCCATTGATCTTTACCCTCGTCTTCTCAACTTCAATCCTGTGGTTAGTCAAAGCTTTACCATGTCTTTGACGAGGGATTGCATATGTCCAATGGTTCTCACTCGTGGAAGGTAAAATAATTGAATAATGTTCTCTTCTCATTTGCTTTTTAGAAATTCCATGTATTGTTTATTTTATTATACTTTCGGTAGAAGAATTCTTGCACCATTAGCTATATAATTATTTTCTTCTTGCTTATTATTTCAGTGACCAGCTCCCTGTAAGCACGAAATATGATCTGAGAAGTGATCCTGGTGTTGAGAAAAACTATGGGAAACTTTTGCTTGAGATGGTGTCTGTTGTCCCAGATGGAATTGTATGTTTCTTTGTTAGTTATTCTTATATGGATGGAATCGTCAATAGTTGGCATGAATCAGGAATTTTGAAGGTACTTTTGGAAAAAAGAAAAAAAAAAATGATTACTCCTTTTAGTATTCTTTTTAAAATTTTGTTGAAGATGTCATTCTGATTTATGTTTGATATGCATTCTTTTCACCTTTAAATGTGTTGCAGGAGATAATGCAACATAAACTAGTTTTCATAGAGACTCAGGATGTTGTTGAAACGACATTGGCATTAGATAATTACCGTAGAGCTTGTGATTGTGGACGAGGTGCTGTTTTTTTCTCTGTTGCCAGGTAGCTTCTTCCACCTCTGGCAGTTGATTCCCCACCCCATGCATCCCATGGCAGGATTTCAGTCTTAGATCAATTAATAATTCCTTTTTGATGAAAAGAAGAATTCAGTATAGAAGGAAGAAGTTACAAAGTGTAGGATGGGAAGTGCTCAAGTACATGAGATAAACATCACTTTTCAGGAACACATTTGTTAGATTTCATTGACATCTGATAGATGTATTTATGTGTAAATCTGAACTACCTTCATCAAAAAGAGGACAGAAGCATCACTTCATCTTTATGCCAAAACAATTTTAACTAAGAGAGAAATCTTGAAACATTCTAGCCACTTCAGCTCAAGTTTCCATTTGAAACATTGCTATATCTTACGCTTCCATTTGCAGGGGAAAAGTCGCAGAAGGTATAGACTTTGATAGACATTATGGAAGACTTGTCATCATGTTTGGTGTTCCTTTCCAGTACACATTAAGCAGGTAAGTTGTTACAACTCCTTTGATTACTTGCCCCCTAAATTTTTTTTTCTTGCATTATTTTGCTATACAACACTGGTTAAAGATTTACCTTTGATTTTTGCACATGAATCAATGCTCGACACATTCACCAGCTTGAGAAATCTGGGAAAACGGTAGTATATTTATGAATTAATTTATTAACATTTACTTTGCATACATCCATGGCCTCCAAAGGAATAGTTCAAGACATCTAATTTTTTTTTTCATGAGATGAATATAAATTTTCCTTCATATTCTTTTGCTGCAGAAACTTTATCACAGTTCAGTATAAATCTTTAGGAAGGGCCAAAATACCTGGATTTCTTATGTTTTTCAAAAATAATCAACACGTACAATAGGATGTTCGGAAGGGATATTGACTGGTGTTGGGTTTGTTTGTCTTTTTAGAATCATTTTTCATGGGAATGATGACAGAAATCACTGAATAGTCTTTGTAAGCTCAATTTTGATTTGGACATTGCGAAGTCTCTTATTTATTTGATTCATACTGATTTTTGTAATTGATCCTGCGAAAAATTCATTGATAGTACACTTCTCCTATCCTTCTCCATCTCGGTTTCTTCTGTAGTTTATGAAGTTACGATTCTTCCAAACTGTGTGCGGCTTCATTAGTGTCGAATTTGCAGAATATTACTTGCAAGACTGGAGTATTTAAGGGAGACTTTCCAGATAAAAGAGGGCGATTTTCTGACTTTTGATGCTTTGGTAATATTTGGCTGCACTCACATGCTTTGGGTACTTGCATGCTTTACTATTTCTTACACATTTTCACATTGATTTCCAGAGACAAGCTGCTCAGTGTGTAGGACGAGTTATCCGTTCAAAGGCTGATTATGGGATGATGATATTTGCTGACAAGAGGTTTGTATCCTTGTTTCTGATTTTGAAGTTATGAACAGTCGCCTCTAAGCTCTAGTGTCAATCTGGAATATTCATTACGAGCTGCAGTATAACAAAAAGGGACTTTCTTCACAGTTTTTTTGTAACCATAGTTTTAATATGCCATAATTAACAAGTTTCTAATGCAATTTTTTGTTGTGTATGACTTCATAATTACATATAAGCCATTTTCTAAAAATTATTCGCATGTTTTGTTGCATTATGTATGCTAATGACTAGACAGAGTGCTGAAAGTAAACCTTTAGAAGAGCCAGCAATACTGTTTTTTATATAGTAAGTGATATAATAGCTAGCCCTGGACTGTATGTAATAGAACTCTTGAATAAGTGAATTAGACTGTGAACTAGATACCGTTCAATTGCTCAAATATAGATAATTAAGGTGCATCCAATATGGTAAGCAAGTTTTAATTGTGGTAAAATAATGCGCAGAAAGCATGGTCTAATTCCTTTTAAATAATTAAGTGTGATATCTACAACTTTGATTCAATGTTAATGCATGTTTAGTGTAGTAATTTATTGAGCTACTCAGTATACAATAATGATTGCTTTTATTTATTTACATGCTAATTTATTGGATTGCTGATGTGTTTAGATATAGCCGTCATGACAAACGCTCTAAGTTGCCTGGATGGATATTGTCGCATTTGCGTGATGCGCACCTGAACCTGAGTACTGACATGGCTGTGCATATAGCAAGAGAGGTATGGTATTATTTGCATCTTGCATTGTTTTTCTGTTGGACATATACTGATAATAATGCAATGTGAAGAAACACTAAATTTTTTGGAGTAAACTTCTCTGGTAATGTGTGCTGGTTTATATCGAGAATACCACCACCACCATTTTATAAGGTGACGGGGGCGTAAAACTGAGTAAACTTGCTGAAATTCTCAATTCGGTATTATCTTACACAATTCGCATGGGATCAATTCTCTTATCACACGATGATAGCTAGCAGGCCATGATTATTATTAAGTATTTTTTTCTTCCATAAATGTGCAGTTCCTAAGGAAGATGGCTCAGCCATACGACAAGACTGGTGCAATGGGGAAGAAAACCCTTTTGTCCCAAGAAGATTTGCAGAAAACTGGCAATGGCATCGGGGAAATGTTGTTTTGAGAGTTTATTCATCATTTAGTTTTCAGCTTTTTGGTTATGATTTACGGTTGCAGTGGAGTTGGTTTGTTAATGGAAGGAAAAGCTTTGTGCACTTCCTATTGTGGGACGATGCTGGAATGGGTCGAGGCAGTTGATCTGAAGGTGTTGAACTTTGCTAGATGACTGAACTTGTGGATTTCTGCACAATGAATTTTTTCATCATCTTGTAGATGAAGTTTTAATAGTACCTCGTATCCATATCGTTCTTGTACTATTATATTTAAATCCATAACGAAAAATTCAATGTACATTTCTACCACTAGTTAATTATATAGGGTGCAAACTCAATGGCGATTTTTCTTTTCGGCCTGCATACAGTTTAATTTCCACTTTTCTATAGAAACCACAATGCTTTCACCAATAGAATAACATAGCAATATGTTTATGTCTCGATGGATATGCATGCAACAAATAAAACATGAATATATGCACCATGTAAAATTGCAAACCAGTTTGCATGTAAATCACCATTTAAGTTGTTAAATGATTTCATTTAAAAGTTTAAGTTGTCAGATCTTTAATATGCAATTTTTGTCAAATTGGATTTAATTTTGGGTGATGTTACGTGTACATAATGGTGTATGTATTTACACCTCCTCACACGGAGGGTGTCTACATATAATAAATTATGTGTGGATTCCCTTCATGTTATATCCTAAAATGTACACGAAGCATTATTATTATTATTATTATTTATCTTTACATTGAAGGTGTAACAAATATTATTATTATTTATCTTTACATTGAAGGTGTAACAAATAATATTTCATAAATTGATGACAAAATTCACATAATTGCGTGTATTGTACCCTTCAATCCTTTTGTTGGAGGAAGTTGAATTTATCATATTGCTCATAAATGCAAAAATGCTTGTTCTCAACTTGTCGAATAGCTTTCTCGTTTTATAATCAATGATCCCTATCTCCTTCATGATATATTCTTTAAAAAACTAGAATCATATATGCCCTTGTGATTAATGACTTTGATTTTTTTTATTTTTTTATTTTTATATGAGGAGCTTTGATATCATATTAAATTGTTTCGTCTAAAATTATTGTGGAGCTAGTGACTGGAAAGTTTTATCTGTTTAGTTGTGACAAGCACAAGTAAGGCACCAATAATGGTCATTGGCATGCTCCAAAATGGTGAGAAAACCAATGAATCCACTATGTATTTATAACAATCAATACAGAACTATTTCATCATCCCAGTAAATATTATTAAGAATTAGGAAGATGACTTTTGTTCCAAAATCCAGTTTAACTGTTTCTGCACTTTTCATTGCCCTGCTGCGGCTATGCTATACAGTTAAAGGTGGACCAAACGCCAGCATTAATGTCCTTATTTGCAATGTCAAGTCTCAAGCAGAAGGTGACCCTTTTTGGAGCAGTGTGACATATGTTCTTTTTGATTTAATGAATGTCACTCCGTCGCAGCAGGGCTTCGACTACAGCACCACTTCGCCTTATTCCACAACGGTTGCTTATGGACGCACCACTTGCAGCTGTGATCTGTCCAATAACGACAGCACCAACTGCCTCGTTTCTGCCAAGGAAACTCTCAAGACCAACTGCGGTGGTTGACTTGGCGGCCAGATGGAGCTGGTTGATTGCTCCATGAGATTTGAATACTACTACTTTGAGGCTCGGCTTGCACGACGGGCTATTAACTCAATGGTAGTGGCGCTGAGCACACCGTTGATAATTGTGTCGTTGTGTCTGGGTTGTGAGGGCGAGGCTTGTGTCCGATTAGCTAGTTGGTGAGTCAATAGCTTACCTCCTAGTTATTCAAGAAACTGATTTGTAAGTTATAACCTTTGCAATGCAGGTTCTGCTGGTTTATGTTTTCTGCTGGTTTATGTATTCTGTGTACTGATTTATTTAGTTTCCGAGTTCAAATTGTTATTTTTAATGTAGTAGTTATTGAATTGCCTCGTCTAACATTTATGTGTTCAACAAACCACAACATGGACAATATTTAGTCCATGTTTGGCACAGACTCTCTAAAACTCACTTTCAAACCTTCATCATTCCAATTATTTAGACTCTAAAACTCATTTTCAAACCTTCATCATTCCAATTAAATAATTTTGCAAGATGACACAACTTTTTTCCCATACTTCCTGATGCTTGTGCGCGTAGATGTTGCCCGGTATGGCCTACTCTCTTGCAGCATGCCCCCTTCAGGCAATACGGTGTAATAAGCGAAGCAGTTAAACCATAGCTCTTCGACCGCTATATTACATCTCACTTCCGCTTGTATCGAGGCTGCCACTCCGTCCTAAGACAGATCAAAGAAGAGTGGGGAGATAAATACCTCGTGGAGCGGAATCATTGGATATTAGCGAGTCCTACTATACCTCTAAACAAAAGGAGGTTTGTTCTCTAGATGGACGGATGTGCCTTTCTTTCACTTTGAAAATTAGGGCCGGAAAGCACTCCTTGGAAAAGAGAGAGAACTCAAAAACAATCATACAACCTTTTACAAAATTTATTATAAAAAAAATCTACATCAAACAAGCCCTGATAATAAGAATGAAAATAAAACTAAAAGGAGCATAATAGCATAAATAACATTTTCTCTTTTGTTTGTACAAAATATTGTTTACTCATTCAACTCTCTTCATATGTACCAAAACCGAAAAATAAAAATTATGTAAAATTATGAAACAGCCTAATGACAGTATCAAAAAACCTAGTATACTGTTTGTTTCTGTCTGTAATTTGCACTTCATATTCAAGTATATCCACCTTAGACGAGAACAAAATGAGACGAAGTGATCATCCATTTTGATGACTCAAAATATATGCATCGTCAATTCCTTGATCATGTGTACGTACCTTGGCCGACCGGTTTGGATTGCTTTGTCATGTCAAAAGTCGAAATCATTAGGTTGATGTCAATGATAAGAATGTCCGCAGGGCAGCAGCTTCAGGTTCTCATTTTTCTAAGTTAAGAAGAAATCAAATGCATAACTCCGTAAGTGCTGCCAACTATTCCGTGTCTTAATGTAAATGCTGGTTTAGTTGAAAAAGATGCCATAAACCTATCAAGTTGGAGAAGCAGAAGGTATTGTCAAATTTTGTCCACGAGTAAATTTTCGTTTGTGGAAGACCGCAAGGAGAAGCTCATTCCATGAATCCGGGACACCGGGCAGGCACCAATGACTGCAGTCTTGTCGGTGGAGGGGGGCTGGTCCCACTTTAGGCCCCAAATAATACAAGGAAGAATGACCGTCTTTTCTTTGCGAGGTCATACCTGTCACATTCAATAGATCCATATTCCCAGTCTTCACGTGTTCTGACAACACATCAATGACTGTTTTAAACTCACTCGAAGCTTGTGTCGAGGATGATGATGAGCTCAAGTCAGGTAGTGTCTGTAGGTGACAGCTACCACCAGTCTTCCAATCCCCACCTCTGTTCATTCAAGCGATGCATCAAATGCATGTTTGGTAGAATAGAATAAGATTTGAACTTATTTTTCTATTTTAATATTGTGATTGTGAACTTATTTTTCTATTTTAATATTGTGATTGTGAACTTATTTTTCTATTTTAATATTGTGATTGTGAACTTATTTTTCTATTTTAATATTGTGATTGTGAACTTATTTTTCTATTTTAATATTGTGATTGTGAACTTATTTTTCTATTTTAATATTGTGATTGTGAACTTATTTTTCTATTTTAATATTGTCGAGTACTATCATTATAATCCTCCCTACATCTTATGACAGTAAGGTAGCAAGATTAACAAACAAAAGGACTAAATCTCTTAGCATATAGATTAGACCAAGAAATAGTATTGATAATTCAAAGTATAAGTAAACTGGAAGAGGTAAAATATTGGAGAACTTAATTAGATTGGCGTATATGCTAACAACGATACCACAGTTGATCAAGAATCGGTAGTACCTGAAATGTACAGGAGAATAACTTCGGAAGAAGACATGGGTCGTTGTCGTGTCTATTTCATGACTTATCCAATCAATCAATGTTGTAATTGACCTTCGGAATGCATTTTCTATGCTCATCTTCATCTTGATCTCTTCCCCTTCTTGGAAATAACAACCCCTAATACACAATAAAAGGATTCAAGGTTTAAAAAATGGAATTTATATAGGTTTACCATATGTAAATCTGCATGCGTGTATCAGACTTCCTATTATGGATTATGCCCTAATTCCAATCAATAGAGCAATCTTAAGCAAAACGAATAAGAAACACAAGACCAAATACACATTTATAGTGCTGAAAAAGAAAGATGATTTCAAGGGTGATCCATTGCCCCCTAAGTCTAAATCAGTCTATAAATGAGACCCTTGAGTAATCCTTTATTTATGTAAGAATACTAAGCAACGTAATACGTGTATGCTTAGGCTCCACAAAGCCCAACACTTTCAAAAACAGCATCAAAACTACACAATAAGCTTCAAAGATGCACAATTACTTAAGCGAAGCACAAAATTTCCCTGTCCACAGATAAAACTTTAATGTGCGAGTCGAACATCATAGGAGAATCACTTTCCTTTTGGTTTTTATTTTTTTATTAATTTCCTTTGGCTTTTGAGTTTTTCGGATGAGAATACAGGCTCTTCCCAGATTTAACCACAAAATATCCATAATCAGGGGAAAGGTTTATAACACAAGGAATGAGCTGCTACAGTATATCACATCACATATTCTTTGTGAACAAACAATTTACAGCAATTGATTACCAAGGAAAATCATTAATGACGTTACGTAAGATTATTCACATGCAAGGTTCTTTCCAAATTCGCATCAATGTTGCACTAATAAAAAACCAAAAGAATAAAATATTTCACGTAGATTTCATGCCAGGTTAGAATTCCCCGTTTGAGAAGAATTTGTAAATAGATAAAAATTAGTGGTGGAAAAATGAATAGTGTTTGTGGGTCTATTGAAATGTACGGTTGAAAATGAAGTTTGATCAATTTATAAAGGGATAATTGTAATCATAGTCCCAAATCTTTCATTTTATCTCAGACTTCACCCAAACCTTTAAAAAATTCACAACTGATTCCAAATGAATGGAAATCGTTAGTTGACCTAAAAACATGGAAAATTGAGTTTTTTGACCAAATAAAACAGGGGTATTTTCGTCAGATCCCATTTCTTCCTAAAATAAACAATCTTCTTCCCCATACCATTGACAAATGATTTATAAATTTTCCCAAAAGTTGCTAATATTTATCTCTCTGCAAATAAATCCAGTTACTTCATGAACTGATGTTATGCTAGACACCTGAACATGATTAGCCTTTGTAATCTATGCTATATTGAAAACACATCCTTGTGAAATTAGATCACTTGTTCAGCTCCATAATACAATGCAACACGAGCCATATGTTCTTTTCTATCATCTTACCGAACTAGTTATGAGAATGCATACCAATACTAGCTTTTTCCATTTAAGGAAGTAATTAATTAATTCCAGGTAAAGAATAAGCAAGCAAAAACCATAAAAAAAATAAATTCGATTAAAATTATCTAAAACAAGAAAGAAAGATTACTCTCTGATGGTCTTCTCATAATTCCACCAATGCCCACTGTTGAAAACCAGCAGATCTGCATCCTTCCACTTAGCAGAGCTCCAATCCATTCGATCCAATTTCAATGTCATCTTCACATTTTTGGGACTCCCAGCCGGTGCGCGGCTTTGTAACACTAGAAACGGGACTCTGTAATACTCTACTGTGCAGTTGAAGTCCCTAAATTTAAAAATTAAAGAGCCTGAGTGCTTTGTGATTGGGCTCCCATTCACTTCATAAATTGAAGCCTTATCAGTAATAGCAGAAGATAGCATGCAAAGAAGGGACTCCCACTGGTTTCTTCCTATAGAATCTCCCACAAACACTATCCGATGGTTTCGAAGCTTTTCCAGCATAACTTTTGCATCAAATCTGCTCCATCTCAAAGAAAGAAAACGTAAAAAAGGGCAGTCACATTAATGTTAGTGTGTGGTGAAAGTTACACATTATTGTTATTCCACCATTTCAATTCAGCAGAATAGTTGGAGAATACATGCCCTAAACGGCTAAACCCACAATCCAAACTTTAAAAGCCAGAACAAAAACCTAAATATCAAATTTGCTACACAAAAATCCAAAGAGAGAAACTGGATTGGATTCTAAACGATAAAATTGAAAGTAGTCACCTATAAAACCTTGGAACAGACAAAGACTAGAGTAAAACATTTTCCCTCCAAAATTCGCCGACCCTCTGCCATTAATATGTCAACATTTTTTAATTTTCAATAATGAACATGTCTATGTTCCATTAATCAAACACCAGAAATGACAAGAAAAGTGTTTCTTGGCATAAAAAATCTAAAGCCTAATCAAATACGGCCTAAATAGCAGCACACTTCCAGATTTACAATTGTTCAAGCAAGGATTTTATCATAAAATCTTCGAACTTATCATTTGAACCCTTAGTACCTAGTAAAGTACATAACAGATATCTTAGTCAATTCATAGTTGAACAATATAGGATTAAGATTATAATTTAAAGAAAAAGAAAACCTGGGCAAGTTGCAATCTTTGGGTTGCCAACGCCACTTGGTATAGAAATTATCAGGCCTCCCATTTTCAGAACATCGAAAACCCTCATCCAAGAACATACAGTCTTTAGATTGATAAAGTGGATAGTTTTCATCATCCCACACCCAATTCCCCTCGTATATATCACACCCTCCACCACTTTCTTCAAGAAACCCAACTTTTTCTTTTAACAATGAAGAATCATTGAACTTAAACCAAGTTATTAACAACGATTTTCCGTTTAAATGATTGACGGTTCTGTAATCCAACAAAAGCAAACAGAGTATAAGGCAAAGACTGAAAAAGAAACACACAAGAACACTAGGTGAAGGCTCTAATGGCTTCAGACGCTTGAATTTCTTGAAAAAATCCAAGTGGGTTGCTCTGTAAAACCCATTTGGAGATGTATCTATGTTCTCACTCATCTTTCTTGAACAAAAATATTCTTCACTTCCCACTCAACTACTACAAAGAAAAGGCCACTTTTCTCTATTTGGTTTACAGTTTTCAAAGAAAAAGGTACAACGGACGCCAAATGGAATATGACTATGCATTCATACAGCCAACTTTAAACGAGTAGAGAGAGAGAGAGAGTAGTGGAGACAACGGAAAGAAGATAGGACAGAGTTAGAAGATGATGAGGAGGTGGGGTCTAGAACAAAGACAAACATTCATGGCAGAACGGTTGTGCAAATTGTAGTTGCACTCAAAATACAAAATTTTTGTTTAATTTATCAGATTTTCAGAATTAAGGGGGTGTTTGATAGGCATTTTTATGTAAAAATAAATTTTAGAATAGTAAATTGATATGAAATGTGTGGTTGAAAAATAAAGAAAAGTTTTTTATTTATGTGTAATATTATTTTAATAAAGAATGTGTGGTTAAAAAAAAAGAAAAAAATACATTTTGAAAAAAATAGCTACCAAACGGGCTCTAATTGAATTTCCTCATTGGGATTGTAATGGCATCCAATTTATTCAATTAATACCTTCTCGAAAGCTTTGCAGAGATGGCAGGTGTGGTGATGAATTAGAATTTTTAAATTTCCGAGAATCACAAAAAACTGTTTAAGAATTATGTTGAAATTTATAAAATTGATTTATGGATTTTGAAATATTTTTAATAACAAAATATTATAAACTGTTAAATATTGAATCGATTAAAGATATAATTGATTTGATTTTAAAATCGTGGTTGGCGAATGTTAAAGGGTAGTTTTATTACAAGTTAAGAATATGATAAATTTGGTTTCTATCCTTCTCAAAAGTTTAACACTTAGAATTAAGCTGGTTGTCTGTATTTTTTTTTTTTTTTTGCCTTTTGTTTGTCACTCCTCTCACATGCGTGTGGATCTCACCTGAATAAAAAAGTCCAAAAAAAGATTGTATGTCAACCATTTTCTAACAACATAGCATGATTCGTAATACTTGTATATTCAACCTTTTAATATTGCGCGTGCAGTATTTTTTACCTAATGAAAAATAGTCATTTAGTCCTCAAATGGTCACACAACTCATACACGATGTTGGTCATAGATGATAAAATTGTCCAAAAAAAATAACATTTAAAGTAATTTGGAATTAACCATTTTTTCTAAATAAAGAAATCTTTTTGAATAATTAATCCATTTAAAAGTTGAGATCCTCCTCCAAAGTGATTGCTCCATATCAAATAAATCTGGTCCCAGGTTCCCACCAGGATTCGAACCTCCACTCTGTCGCTGGAAGCAAGACAAATGTTGATTGATCCACCAGTTGAGCTGTGCCCCGAGAGGCATCATCAAATCCATTTTAACTACCCCTCAAGTAGCTCAATTGATGCCTAGCTCAGGTTGCGATTCTTTGGATTGTAATTTACTTTAAGGGAGTGTTTTATAGCATGGAAATGGAAAAAAAAAAGATGGAATTGGAATTGGAAATTCCAACTTTTGGTATTTAATACTTTATATTTTCCATGGAATTGCATTTCTTGAAACTTGAATTTTCCTTGTTTTGGTGGAATTTGAATTCTCAGCATATATGGTGAGAATTCAAATTCCACCCTACTGTAGCGACTTTTTTTTTTTTTTTACGTTTTTTTTTTGTTGGTAATGGAAGTCAATTCTAAGAATTATTGTAAAAAAAATATTTTCCTTTAATTGACAATTTTCATGTAAAACAAAGCCAAACGAACATAAAAAAAACACTTTTATTTGAACATTTTCCACCTGAAAAATTATATCAATCAAACACAATAATTTACAATTCCCAGAAAAATAATTCTAGACAATTCAATTCCCTAGAATTTATTTTCTAAGCAATTTAATTTTATCTTTGCAATCAAACGGACCCTAAAAGAATTTTGTTCCTTGAAGAGTTAAAAGAATATCTCAAGAAATCAATAATTGATAATTATTATTATTTTTTTCAAATCATTATTTGAAAGATATGGACGAGCTTTTTCTTATATTTTATATTAGTCATTTTCATGTTTCTTTTTGGGCCTTTTATAATTCAATGCTCTAGCTCGCATATCAAGTCAATTTCATACATAGTAGTGACAATTTCTTAGGATTGTTTGATTTGAGAAATTTTCCATGAAAAATTTTTATTTTCCACATTTTTTCTTGTTTCATTGTCAAAATTTTCTTGGCAATTGATTTTCCATTCCCCACGTGACCCCTTTCTCCTTGGTTTTGTGGAATTTCAATTCCATGGGATTGGTGGAAAATCAATTTTCCAGATTTTTTTATTTTTTATTTTTTGGCAATGAAAACAAATTTTATTCACAATTGTAACAAATTTCGTCCCTCTAATTGACAATTTTCATGAAAACAAAGCAAACGAACATCAAAAGATCCAAAATTTCAACATTTTTCAGGTGAAAAATTATATCAATTAAATACATTTAATTGACAATTCACAGCAAAACAAATTTTAGGCAATTCAATTTATTGAAATTCATTTTTCTTTCTACCTAAATTCCATTTTTGCAATTTTGAATTTCCCTTCTATAGAGGCAGAAGGGAACATACATTGAACTTGGGCATCATTGTTCAACTTCATCAAATAATTATTGAAATATGAGACAAATTATGACCAAATAGGAGAATGCCACCTTAGCTTCTTACTTCTGCTTTAGGCCTATCGCTTTAATATTTGAAAATGAAGGCACATAGCATTTCATATTAAACGCCTTTTCTATCAAACCATTATTTTGAAAGTGATTGGAAAAAAACAATTACCACCCAATTATGTGAACAAACCATTAAGGCCCACACTTTGAAAATCTAGACCGTCACAGAGAATCACTAGCGCCTTTAGCGCTAATCAAATAAAAATGTCACACAAATACGATAAAATTACAACTTAGACATCCAAATTTGACTTGGATGTAATAGCAAAAACTAGATATATAATGGACTGAGCTATTACTTGTTTCACCTGTTTTGAGTACCTCTCTCTTATTCCAATTACAACTTGATGATATATTTCACAAGAAAAGAGAAAAACTATGACAAACTAAGAAGACAAACCTGGAATCTTAAAATTTGAGCTACATATGAAAAAGGGGAGAAGAAATTTTATTTGGCCATGCTCGAACAACGTAGTATTCACAAACAGTACAAATAAAAGCTAATGCAGGTAGCAATGCCACCTAAAATCCAAAGTTTGTCTAACATGTCTTCATATTGCATCTTCTTCTCTTTGAGCTCCGTTTGCACCTTTGAGTACAAATGGCACGACTCGAGGACTTCATTGTAATTCTTGCTCCTATGGCAGCTAAGTGCTTCTCTAAGGACGAGCAAACTTTTCCAGCCATTGACATGAGAACCATCCATATCCTCCAGTTGCATGCTTAGTTCCGTCAACTTGAGAGTTGTTTGGCCCTCAGTACGGATAACCCAGAACTTCATGATAAGGATGCATTTGACTACTTCACAAGGGAGAATATCTTGGGCAGGAAGAACGGAACCAAATCGTACCACGAAATCCTTGTCTGTAGGCCAATGTCGTTGCCCTCCAAGTGGGCTCCAACTGGATAGATTAGCAGCTTTTTTAATTTTTCTGTTGACTATAATCCAACTAAGCCGGATGCCCTCCCAGAGCTCTTGCCAGAGATTTCCGTCTTTTCTTTCCCGTTCAATGGAAATGATTGGAGGCAGGCCATCGGAGACTGAAAGTGTCACTTCATCTGAACATGCAAGAAGATCAATACGAAATGGACAATTGTGAAACCAACCATTAAAGCCATTTGCATTAGGGATTCCCCACAGGACTTTTGAACAGATTGTTTTGTCTTTGTATCTGATATCCATTATAGACACAAAATCCGATGGAGAAACGCTTTCAAGCTCATCTACATCACCGTAGTATTCAGCTTCGGTCAACTCTTCAGGATAGTCGAAATTGTCATTCCATCGAAATTCAGGAACCTCGTTTACAATAAGGGGAAAACAATCTGCATAAAACTTTTTGAATCCACCAATTGACATGATCAAACTTTTGACATCATCTTGATTAGTTGAAGGCCACATAGAAGAGCACACATTTTCCCATAATCGCTCTTCCTTTGAAATAGAGCAGAATGTTGCACAAGCACAGGCTGCACTTGCCAAAGTCGCACCATCAAGACGTCTAAGAATGTCATAGAAAAGATCGCTGCTCAATGGTGCCACACTTTCAACTGATGAAACTGACATCGTTAGTCCTCCGATCATCTGAAAAAGAAAAAATTCATAGGCTGTAGTTGAGCAAGAATGAGGAGAGGATATTATATAACATTCACATCACAAAAAATGTAGTTACTTAGAATGTCAATACCATATACATCCACCACTAGTTTCCAATTCTTTGGGTCTGAGGACCCGTGGATTTGGTGGGGGGGACTATGGGCACTTAATATCTCATTTTTTACGATCAGGCAAAGAGCAAAAGTTGCAAGCTCTACTTATTAAGCCCTCTCCAAGTTTCCTGAGTTACACGATCATACTTGATAACTCCGATTTCAGCTCTGTTTCAATACAGCATAATTTTCTATAGAAGACTGGACTTCAAAATTATGAAGTGCTAGCTCACTATAGTGGATTTTGTTTTAGGATTTGATAGGAAAAAGAATTACTACGAGTTAGTGGCATGTTGAAAACAAATTTAAATGGTATTCAAATAAATCTCTATAAAAGCTTAAGCTTTTAAATCAAGTAGTTCAATATCCAAAAAGTCTTGTGACCAAGGAAAAAGAGGAAACAAAATATTTGAAAACGGCCGTTGGTCGGAATGTCCTTCTAAAGACACAAAAAACAGAGATACTAAGAGACGTGTAAGATTTCAAAGCTGGCCGGCAGTACTGGAAAAAATACACAACTTCATCCTTACCCACTCCTAAGCTGCTATGCAAATCATGCTTATTTCACGAGATTCGTACATAGTATACTAGAAGCACCAAAAATTTGCATTCAATTAGTCACCTGGTTTAACAAAAAGAAGAAAGAGCTACATCAAATTCTAAATTCACAAGAGTAATAAGTATTGAACCACTTGTGATTTTGCAAGTAGAAGTTAACAAATCAACCATTTCAAATGACTTGTTCGCAAAAAACAGATCTATTGTAGTAGGCAAATCTCTGTGCTTTCCTTGCCTCAATGAAGTTCACAAGTAAGATTAAGCTTTGATCCTCATTATCCCCAATCGATAGCATGAAACTTACTTTCTAGAGTTCGAAGGAAAAAAAAGCAATGCCTTGTTGCCCTTCTTTTTTTGTTGTCTTTGTTCCACTGTCAAACTATTTTATCCAGAATCATCAACTCACTCTCCAACTTTAAGAAGATCTTGATATGTGAACAAGACCTTCATTTGTTTACTCCAACTATTTGAACTTTTTGCATAAAGAAGACGAGGATTCCATTGAATTGTACCATTCTTCTATGCCAAGTTATATGCTTTCTGATCATGACATTCTTAGCAATTAATGAAGGATTTATGGCAATCAGTCAACCCTTAATAATCTGTGGCTTTGGACAGGGAGAAATCTTGATGCCGTGACTTAGCGGGAAAAAAGAAAACTGTAAAGACTTCAGGAAATAATTTTATTAAAGTAAACTCTTGGAGTATATTAAATTTGCCTGCAAGGCATCCTGTTTGTAGCTCTTATTTCCCACAAGTTTTGTATCATTTAAATCCTAACCCTACTTTGCCTAAACCTATTTTATCTATTCTATCCAAGATAAGTAGAGGTGAAATGGATAGAAAAACCAGTTAGATTCTGAATTACTATATAAATCATAAATCTCTAAATATACATTGCAATCAGTACATCCATTCCTTAGTTTACCAGAATCTTATCCTGTACCTCCCAAAACAAGCCCTTAAAAATTCAGAAATAAAACTAATTAAAATGCAATAAGTCACTAACTATTCACAAAAAGTCGAGTTAGCTTCTTCTTAATTTTTTTTCTTCTGTGACAAAGTAAACTCATGTTTTCTGCCGTATAGCTCAAGGCAAATAGTAATTTAATTACACAATTAAATTGGCATAATTAGACAAGATCTTCGAAAACTAAAAGCATTCAGAATGTCAACCAACAGCAGACCATTACATAATCACGAATTACCCAAAAAAAATACACAAAAGTTTAAACTCAAACCCCAATAAATTGAAAGGTTTGAAAATTAAGAAGAAGGGGGGAAAAACCAGTAAACAGGAGAAAGAAAAGAGAAAACCCACCTCACAAAGCAGCACAGAAATACTGAAGCTTGATAAAAAAAAAAAATGAATGAAAAGTAAAAAAAAAAAAAAAAAAAAAAAAAAAAATTTGCAATTTGGGAGATTTCAGCACCGATTAATAAGAACTAAAAAAATAAGAAGCCGAGAAGAGAGATTTGAAAGGCAAGACAGTGAGCTAAAATTCACTTTCTGTAAAAACTTTCCAAAGATCTTTCTCTTTGTCGGGTCCTCGTAACAAATTTGGAATGCTGGAAATCTCTTTGTTCGATTAATGTGTGTTTGGAAGAAAATAATGTTTATCTTGACACGTAAGGGTCGAATGAGAAAATGCGTGGACCCAAAAGACGAGATTAACGATGATGGAGCACCGTATATCCAGCAGATTGAACTTTAGCGGAGCTTTACTTTTGTCCGGATGTAGAAAAATTGCAAACAAATTTAAATTGGGGTAATCCTTGTTCTTGGAAGGTTGCGAAAATATGAACAGAAATTTATGATATCTGTCCCAAACCTTTAAAAATATGTATTCAGATCTCATTATTTTTATCTTAACACCTACATCTCAAATCTTTCAATAAACGCACGTCAAATGACATTTGGACTATTTATATTCAATGACATGCAATTGACCAAATTTCATCTCGAAATAGGTATAGGGCGCCAAACTAGGGCAAGCAATCACCACGATGATTGCAATTGCATTGACCAATGGAGGCGATAGTAATAGATTTAATTTATGAGATTTTTTATCAACTTACTATCATTCGGATGAATCTTTCCTATACACTTTAGGTGGAAGCTAAGAGTGCTTCATTTTTTCTTGCAAATATATTCTAAATTTAAGCCTTGCGTCTATGCATTCGATTAAAAAATAACTCACACTTGCACGCAAGGAAGTGTGTTAATGGAAAAACATAAGTAAACCACTCGTTCTTGGTATAATTGAATGGGACCATAAGAAATAATTGAACATGAAAACTTTTTTTTTCGTACTAATCCACATGAAACCGTCTTTTTCCATAAAAATCCCAAAATTTAAGAGATTCTTATCCACATTTGTAATGCTAGGTTCAAATAATGTCAAGATATGAATTTACATTCACCAACTTGTTGATATTTTTCGTTTAAGGCCTTCATGTGATTTGATCAGTTCAAGTAGAAATAGAGTTAGAACAAATTGCAAGCAAAATTTAAGGCAATAGACCAAATTCATGAGATTCTTGATTGAATTCTGTTGGAGAAAATTCACCGGATTGGAATAGAGATCACAAAATATAAACCGGAAATGTCAATAAAAAGATAATCACGAACTTATATCAATGAATGGCTTGAACATGATATCGTTGTCCTCAAACGATATTTGTCCCTTCTTCTATGAATTTGAGATGCTTCGAAGGTTGTTGACAAATGGTTTGCAAGATTATAACAAATCTTGCAAGGATTTAAGCACCAAAGCACAAGTGCAAATCCTAGAGAACTTGAAGAACACAAAGGATGAATATGAATATGACTTTTAAAAACTTTGATCTTTGATATTGGAAGTAATATGGAACATTGATGTTTTTGCCTTCAACATGGATCCAATATATATAAGCATACACCACATTTACAAAATGGTACCAAACTTTGAACCAAAAGTCACCAAATTTAAAATTACAACGAGAGAAAATGACCTCCAATAGTCAAATAATTGTACCATGCGACTGCATGGTACAAACCTATGTGGTCGCATGGTTCTCGGCATAAGGCCATGCGACCGCATGGCTATATGCCTTGCGGTCGCATGGACCAATTTTTATTTTTATTTTTATTATTGTTGTTGTTGTTTATTTTGAACAACAAATCACAACAATCCCCCGCTTGTTCAAAATTAACAAGTTTCATATTCATAATATACGATACTCATGCATAAGGATTAGATATCTTTCGATTTGAATCTAACCATAGTGTAATTCAAACAAAGTATAGTCGGAATCAAAGGTACCGTGTAGCTTTGAACCAGTTATTCCATATGAGAATACCGGTAAGAACACACACGAATACCACGTGCTCTCAAGTTCCTCATAACTCGCTTAGTGCTTTTATGGCCTTGCGCTTATTCTTTTCAACAATCTTTTAAGAGAGAAACTTCAACTCTCTATTAAGGCGGCACCACCTTGAAAATTGTTTAGGTGAAATTCTTCCAGTACTTTTGTTACCTTTAAAGGTACTTGTGTTTTAACACTGAACTTCATTAAGAGCTTAAAGCTCATCCCTCATTTCAGTAACAACCAGCATTAATTTAATTAGGATAGGATTATTGCAGATTTTTTAATAATGCTGCAACTATTCACAAATTAATTACTTGTTGTTACCATTTGAACTCGTAAATTACATTTTGAGTAATGACAGGTAGGGTTGCTGTCATTGGTGAACTTTTTAGTTAAGAAATTCCAACCCCATCTTACTCGAAGTAGATGCTACTAAATCTTTGTTTAGAGGTTTAGTCAAATGATCCGTCAAATTCTCAATTGACCTTACATAATTTAAAGAAATTATTCCAACCTTGATTAACTTCCTAATATAGTCATATCTAAAACTCATGTGTCTAGACTTTCCGTTGTATACCTCGTTGTATGCTTTTGCTAATGTGGCTTGACTATCACACATGATAGGTATTGAAGAAATATTCTTCGATCCCAAAGGTATCTCATAAAAGAGATCCTTAAGCCACTCAACTTCTTTCCCGGTATCCGATAGGGCTACAAATTCTGATTCCATAGTTGAGTGTGTTATGCATGTTTGTTTCTTTGATTTCCAAGAAACGGTACCTCCTCCTAGAGTGAATACCCAACTTGAGGTAGATTTACTTTCACCCGTGCTAGATATCCAACTAGCATCGGTAAATCCTTCCAATATTGCCGGGAATTTAGTATACTGCAGGCCTAATTTCTTGGTTTTCTTTACGTATCCAAGAACTCTCCCAATGACCTTCCAATGATTTTTTCTTGGATTGCTAGTAAACCTACTAAGTTTACTAATAGCATATGCTATATCCGGTCTTGTGCGCTGAACTGCATACATAAGACTTCCAATAGCACTAGCATATTCCAATTGAGCAATCACCCTTTCATCATTCTTTACAAGTTTTGAACTTGAATCAACCGGGGTACTATATTCTTTTATGTTCAAGTGTTTGAACTTGTTTATCACATTCTCAATATAATGTGATTGACTTAGGTGATAACCCCCACTAGTTTTTGTGATTTTGATACCTAAAATGGTATCCATTTGACCAAGATCCTTCATTTTGAATGTGGAAGATAGAAACCTCTTTGTTTCTTCTATATCGTCCATGTGATTATTCATAATCAACATGTCGTCAATATATAAACTTATAAATGTCACATAATCATGATACACTTTAGAATATAAACATCTATCTATGTTATTATGTTTAAATCCAAATGATGTTATAGTTAAGTCAAACTTCTTATGCCACTTCTTAGGTGCCTGCTTCAAACCGTATAAAAATTGTACTAACTTGCATACTTTATGTTCATTTTCAGGTAGAACGAACCCTTCGAATTGTTCCATATAGACCTTCTCATCGAGATCCCCATTTAAGAATATCGTCTTAACATCCATTTGATGAATATGTAAGTCATAAATTGAAGCTAATGTAAATAATATCCTAATCGATGTTATTCTAGCGATCGGTGTATACGTCAAAATAGTCGATTCCTTCCTTTTGTCGATATCATTTAACTATTAATCTAGCTTTGAAAGTATTTAGAGAGCCATCAACATTAAATTTCCTCCTAAATACTCATTTACATCCAATAGGTTTGGATCCCGGTGGTAGATTGACAAGTTCTCAAGTTTTATTAGACATTACCGAATCCATTTCATCTTTAATTGCATCTTTTCAAAAATGCTATCACAAGAAGACATAGCTTTTTTATAGTTTTTAGGGTCGGTTTCCACTTGTAAAACAAAAGGAATTGTTCTTACAGCATTCAATTCATTTTCTTCTACTAAGTAAAAGGAAATAAGTTTAAAATCAATTTCATCCGGTCTCAAAGACTTCTCAACTCGAGTTCTCTTGCTTCTTCGTGATTCACTAGACTCATCAACATCTTTAGAAGAAGTTTCATTACGTGTTCCACTTGAGCTAGGGATGTTTTCAATATTTTCCTTTAATTCATTATACGACGATAACAAATTTTCAAAGAACTCTACATCACTTTATTAGATAATCACATTGATTTCCAAGTTTAGCAATCTATAAGATTTGCTATTATTAGCATATCCAACAAAAGCATATTTACTGCCTCTTGGATCTAATTTGGTCATATTAGAAATTGTGTTCTTGAAATAAGCAAGACACCCCTACACTTTGAAGTATCCAATATTCGATTTTCTTCCTTTCCACAATTGATAGGGAGAAACTTTTGTATGTTTAGAAGGAATTCTATTAAGTATCCTACATGCACTTAATGAAACTTCATCCCATAAATTAAATGGCAATTTAGCATATATAAGTATGGTATTAATCATTTTTACTAAAGTTCTATTCTTCCTTTCAGCCAAACCATTTTGTTCAGGTGTCCTAGGTGCAGAACATTGGTAAATTATGTCATGTTGTTCACAATATAAGTTAAATTCAGTAGATAAGTACTCACCACCTCTATCACTTCTTAAGGTCTTTATTTTCTTATTTAAGTGATTTTCAACTTCATTCTTATAAGTCTTAAACAAATTAAAGGCTTCATGTTTATATTTCATTAAATAAACATATGTATATCTTGAGCAATCATCAATAAATATTATGAAATATCTATTTCCACCTCTTGGTAGCATGTCATTCAATTCACATATATCAGAATGAATTAATTATAATATGCTAGAAGTCCTATTAACGCTTTGATAAGGCTTTTTAACCATTTTTGCTTCTACACATGTTTTGCATTTAATGACATCATTTTCATCATATGAAATTAAGTCACAATTTC